CTCACTTTCATGCAGCATGTGAACAAAAATTGATTGGTTAAATGAATAAACCGGTTTGTCCCTGTAACTATAATCACCTGACTTGTCGTTCTTTTGAACTTTTATTGGCTAATTTACATAATTTATGATTTGTCACATGCATCTTCGCATCATAATCCTGGACCCTAATCTACCTTAACCGCTAACTAACCAATCACGACTTAATCACGGGATCATGCACCGTAGTTTTCACGCAGTTAGGGTTATTGGTTTTTAGTAGTATCACGTGAATTTTCCTGCCCAAAGAACTGTCCGTAGATTTTCCGGAAAATGACTGACCGTATCCCTAGCTAGATCACATGCTCGGTCTTTTTGAAATCCTAACGCTAATGCTACAGCAAACTGAAATTTCGATGGGGAACAATAATTCGTGTAATTGAATGATCCATTAAGCGATAAAATTAATAAAATTTTTATTAATCAATCTTGTCATGATATTATTTGAGCAAAAGACATGAGGATCTGGAGATTTACTGCGATCTAGAGGAATTAATACTTATAAGCTTTATAAATGTGTATTCTTTAGAAACACCGTAAATCGTAAGATCCTACGTCCCTGAAACGAAGTTGATAAGACAAAAAAAAAAAAAAGGATTAAAAGTTCGATATAAAATAAATCATTTTTGAGTATTCCATCAATACTTTAAATAAAACGTGTCTTTAATTAATAATTGTAGAGTTATATAATAACCACCAGCATAAATACCTATTTAAGTCAGAAATACAAATTATCTTGCTATACAAAATGTTAAAACAAATAATCAAAATAAATGATAATAAATATAAGTTTTCTTTAAATATGGCTAGTATTCTATATCAATCTCCATCCAAGCCTAAAAGACTTCCTAAATCGTTTATAGCATACCTTAATAATTATGCATATTTTTAGTTATCAGCAGCCGCATCAATATTATTACTACATGCTGTTGTAGACGTTAAACAATCTCTATTTGGAATGGATCTCATTATTTCCATCATAACTTCAGGAAATGCTGGGTACTCGCCTGACCAAGTAAGAATAAGTTCAAAGCTTTTCGTTTTTGTAACTTCTTCATAGTGCTTCAATAGATAGTCCATACAAATTTGCTTGAAATCATTGTACAAATATGCTTGTTGAAAAAGTATAGTTGCCACATTATCTACTGTAAGCAATGTTTCAATACGTAGAAGCATCGCACGACGAACAGTAATGAGTTGATATTTGTCTGATAATTTAAAAAGTGCAAGACATGCCGGCAGTGCAATCTCAGAAGGGATTCGATTGGTGTACAAGAAATGAAGAAATCGACGGTACGTTACTGGTTCAAAATCTGTGACTTCGATGACATGATATTGTCGTTGTGGTTGTTGTGATGCCGATTGCGATGATGGTAATGCTCTTGTTGATGAACGTTTATCTTCAAGAGAAGTGTTAACAAACTTGATATTATCCACTCCACAAAATTCTGATACGAGTGTCTGGATTGATTTTTTAAGGGAAATAACTTCTTTTTCTTTTGTAATGATTTCTTCTTCTTTACGCTTAACAGAATCACGAAAATCATCAAAATTAGTCTGCAAATTTTGTATTTTATCAATAATCAACGTTTGTGTTTGTTGAGCATCAGAAAGTTTCGTTTGCAATTCTGCCAAACGTTGTTCATAATGCTTGCTTAATGCATCAACAGCAGAAACCTGGTTAGCATCACTAGTCTTCTTGACGTCTGATATGCTTTGTTCTTTTCCTTCATCAGCCTTAATATCAATGGCCAAGTTTTCCAAGGTTACTATTTCCAAATCGCTATTAGATGAAACAGTCTCATCTACTACAGGGATTGTAGGTTCAGGTGGCTTGTATTGAAGGCTCAGGGTCTTTAAAGCATTTTCTCTTCGAGAAGACGGACTTTGCGTTGAAACATGAATTGATTTATTTTCCCGTTTAGATGGTTTATTTGATTCGGTAGACTTTGCTACGCATTCAACACAACCGCTATTAAACATGCCACGGAAATATGCACTCCGTGCACGAAGAATATCTTTATGGGCATATATTTTGGTTCCCTGCACGTTGAAAACTACATCAGCAGTATTTGGATTATCTAGCATAGTACCCCAAGCGGTAGCAAGATCAGGTAGAGTATATTGAAAAGCACTATCAATGGATTGAGGAGGTTGGACGCGAGGAGCTGTAGTCATCGAAAAACAGATGCCAAGTATGAAGCTTTCTGGAAGTGAAGATTTCTTAATAAAACACGGCCATCCTAAATAACAATATTGTGAGTCAAAAATTACTCCATATAATAACATTGAAGTAATGAATGCAACATACCACATCCGGACGACTTCCGCGAAAATTTTTCGAAAGGACTTTCTTTAAACTTTTTGGAGACCACAATGGTGCATGCCATTTCATCAATTATGTAGATTTCGCAGGAGAGGCCTTGACGAGAAATCCAAGGACCTTCGGTAATAAGTTCAGTGACAGAAGGTACAGCTTGTAGGAAGACTTCGAGATATTCTGCTTGCTTTTTAGCGGACTGTTGTTTTGTTTCCCCAAAAAAAAAACATACGAAGCAAAACACTTGTAATAAGTATACTATATTAAGGAAAGCTTAAATAAAAAGCTGATATAATATTATCAAAAGTTTAGTGTTTAATACATAGCTGTAGCAACCATTTTAAAATATAACAGAGATACATACAGGCCCAATACGTAAGTTCCATAGTTGATTTTCACCTTTTGTCGAAAATATGGGGGTATGATATGTGCTTTCAACATCACTGGCTTTCATTGTAAATTCATATTTAGCACACGAAAGTTTACTATCCATTATTATTACTGTAACTTTGCAGTAAGTGAAATAAGGAATTCACAGGACTTTAAAATGTATCAATTTACGGCCTTTTTATATGGAATTTAAACAAAAAAAACGTTTCTATTTTTGATTGGCTATTTTCTAAAATCCCTACTTTAATAGGCAGGGCGTTTTTTTTTACGATAAAAAGTCGCCTGATTAATTATACATAACTTATAAATAGAACAATCAATTATGTTAATCTTATACACACATTATGTTCGAGCCGTCCCCTAGATCATCTCAAACTGTTGATCCACGACTTTATGAAAAGTATCATCGAAGAGTGACAAAAAAATTTTCTCAAATAGAACATGAACGAACATACTCACCTAAAGCTAAATTGTTTAAGATACTTAGGCTATTCTCTTATGGAGGTAGATAATAAAAACAGGGGCTGGTATTCGTACTCCCCACATTTGGTATTCATACCCCCAAAAATAAGATATCTCAGATCAAATTCGATAAAAGTTTTTTTATTTAAATTCTACAGATCTGTAGAATTTCAAATAAAAAAAAATTTATCGAATTTAGTCAGTTGGTCGTAGAGATATCTTTGCTCAAAGTCAGAATAGAAGCAGTGCTAAATCTTTATTTTTAAAACTTTAAACGAAGATATCTCGACAACCACCTGACCAAATTCGATGAAATTTTTTTATTTGAATTTTACAGATCTGTAGAATTTAAATAAAAAAATTTTCATCGAATTTGGTTAGGTGGTCGTCGAGATA